TGCAGAGGAAGCGCCCGAAGGGCTGTTTCTGCGAGGCTCCCGTTCTCTGCGTTGACGCCTGTTTTGTTCTCGGGGCTTCCGTTTCCCCGCAGCGGGGCCGCCTGGGACAGCGAACACCTGGCTTCCGCGGCCCGGTGCCAGGTACTCCACTGGGGGTTGGGGACCACTGATTTAGACTATCAATAATGACCAAAAATTGGCAAATTTATCTCACTTCAACTTTCTCTTCAAACTGCTTCTTTTGTCCTATTTGCCCAAACCGGCAGGGAAAAAAATGCTTTAAAAAGTGGGGGGGAAAGCTTCTGTTGATCACACGGATCAGTTGTGAGCCACATGATCATTGGAAGCTTCCCCCCCCCTTTTAAAGCATTTTTTCCTGCCTATTCGCCTGAACTGGTAAGAAAAAAATGCTTTAAAAAGCGGAAAAAAGCTTCCGATGATTGTGCGGCTCACAGCTGAGCCCTGCGATCCTCAGAAGCTTTTTTTTTTTACTACCGGGACAATCATTGCTACCGGTTCGGCTGAACCTGCCAATCCGGCAGGATTTCACTCCTGAACTGTATTAATGGTCTTTTGCATTTTAAATTAGTATATCTCTTACTACTCTCTAAATGCAATGGTATATCACCATGATTTTCAACTTACCAACACAAGAAGCTGGTCTTCCACTCCATGCTTTATTATCCATACATTGTACTACTCTATCTCCTTTTAACTGATATCCTGGTGAGCAATAATACTCACACCTGGAATTAAAGTATGCACCATCAACACACTTGAATCCTCCATTAGGTGGCATTGAAAGTGTTGGGCAGCGTTTTTCTGAAAGGAAAAATCAACATTAATCATTGAAGACATAATTATTATTTCCTATCAGGTTCTACAGTATACAGCACTACATTTTACAACATCATGAGTAACAAAATCATTTTTGTATGAAAGCAGTACAGAGACACAGAAATAGTCTGATTGGCTGGGTGATATAACAGAAAGATTGTGATGTAGTAATTTCTATAGAGCCGTGATCATGAAGCTATGCCACATGTGCCAGAGGTGCATGCAGACCCCTCTCTGTGGACAGATGTGCCATCACCAGCTGCTCTTCTGGTTTCTGGTGCCAGCCACCTGGTCTTTGGGTTTCCAGCGCTCTGGCACATGCACACCAGCCAGGTGGTCTTTGGGTTTCCGGTGCTCTGGTGCACATATGCACATTCCGGTTTGGGCACTTGGTGCTGAAAAGGTTAGCCATAACTGCTAGGTTATAGCAGAATACAACATGGGTAACATTTTCTATCATTTCCAGTCCACAAAGACAGATGCATTTCTTATAAAGGTATCTGTACTGTAGGTTGAGGTGAAGTAAATTTGTGGCCATAGTTCCTTTCACAATTTACTGTATCCCTCCAATTCATACTGGAAAGTTGAAGGGTCTTATTCCTCATAGTGTGAGACAAAGTTTGATTTGTTGTCAAGTAAAGGATAAATTCAGGGGTGAAATGCTACTGGTTCGAGCCGGTTCACCCAAACGGGTAGTAAAAATGTTACTGGTTTGCCCGAATTGGCAGTAAAAAAACTCTTCAATGAGTAAAAAAAAAGTTTCCATCTGTGGCCCAGCTGATTGTCACACAGCTGATTCGGAACTTTTTATAAACTTTTTTTAGCATTCTCTAACCACTGCTCAGGAGAACTGGTAGTTTAAAAATGCTTCAAAAAGCAAAAAAAATGTTCTGCCCGTCAGCTGTGAGACAATCAGCTTTGTCGAAAGCAGAAGACTAAAAAATTAGATTTTGAAAAAAGGATGATATTAGATATGCCTAAGAATAGTGTTGACTATTAGAAGGATGTAGTAAATATTGATTATATATAATAATACTAAAATATGACTATTAGAAGGATGTAGTAAATATTGATTAATTGAAAAATGAAGGAATATGTGCTGATATTAATATATATATAACACTAGACTATGTTTATTTGATTAATATAGTAATTTTTATTTGTATTAATATTTGTTTTGTACCAAAATGAACAATGCTCAGACACCACATTGTCCATGCAATGATATTGATGATATTGGTGTGTATTTCAAAATAAAAAAAAACTTTACTCAAAACAAATGTAATGTCTTTCATCACATTTGCACCTGCCATTTTGACTTTTTCGACCTTACTGAGGACACCTTCCCATTGTGGTAAGGCTTGGGGACCCACACCCTCAGTGTTGGACCCTCTGACTTGGGATTGTCGTCCTACAGCTGGGGGGGGGGTACCCAAGCCCAGAGCTGCTCTGATTGAGATTCTAACAAAATCACCCTTAATACATCAGCTTGTTGCTTGGCATGGGGCAGGAATCAGCTCTGCCTGCAGGTGTATTTTTTCTTCAGATCAAATTACTCCTTTCAAGCTACCACTTTTCAAATATGTTTGATAGGATCCCGCTTCCCCCGCAGATAATTAAACTGCAACTCTAACCAAGCAATTAGATGAAGTAAGATGAGGGAGATGCTCACAGCTCTTGTCACAAATGGTGGGTCTGGCTGCATTTGGCCACTTGATGGAAGACAGTGGGAGAACCGGTAGTTAAAAAATGCTTTAAAAAATAAAAAAAGTTGGACATGCCCATCCAGTTACATGACCCACCATCAAGCCATGCCCACCAAGCAGTGGTGAGATTCAAATAATTTAACAACCGGTTCTCTACCCTAATGAACGGCTGGGTGGGCGTGGCCAACTCAACATCACTCATGTCAATGGGTGCTTCGCCTTAGCAGTTACAATGTAATAAGGGTTAACGGGAGAGGCAGTTTCTATAAGCAGGGCAATAAAGATTAGGCTAGAAATAAAACCAGAATGCTTCCTTCCTGCCTTCCTTACAGGATTAGCCCTGTAAAGTGGAAAGAAACAAAAGGAGATCTTTTTTTCCAACAACTGGTTCTCCGAACTGCTTAAAAAGTTAACAACCGGTTCTCCCGAATAGGTGCGAACTGGCTGAATCCCACCACTGCCACCAAGCCATGCCCACCGAACCAGTAGGGAAAAATTTTGAATTTCACCACTGGATAAATTGTCTTGAATTTCATTATGGCACTGCATGAGATAATGATCCTTTAAAATTCAGGAGAACAGCTTTCAAGTACAATTTATTCCCCTGATTCCCCAGGTGGGAAAAATTGCTAAACTTTCTAAACAATCCACCTACTGTATTTTTTGGACTATAAGACGCACCAGAGTATAAGACGTACCATGATTTTGAAGTGGTATATTAAAATAAAAGTTTTTGCACTCTGCATGCCTCATTTGGGGGGGGGGAAGAGGGCATGCAGAGCTTTGGGAGGCTTGTAAAGTGTTCCTGGGAACGGGGGGGGGCAAGCAAAAAATGCCCCATTTTTTGCAAAAATCGTCTGTTTTTTTGCAAAAACAAAAAGTGCATGCAGTGGGTTTGGGAGGCTTGTAAAGTGCTCCTGGGTGCTGGGGGAGCACAAATGAGAAAAACACCCTATTTTTTGCTCATTTTTGCCCTCCCCAGCGCCCAGGAGCACTTTACAAGGCTCTCAAACCCTCTGCATGTCCATTTTTGCAAAGGGGTGGGGTTTCGGTAGGCCAAAAATGCTGTATTCAATGTATAAGGTGCACCCAGATTTTCACCTTTTTTGGTGGGGGGAAATGCATCTTATACTCTGAAAAATACAGTAGTTTTCTCAAAGTGGATCTATTTACCTTCACTCATAGTGGGTGACTTCCTCATTTTTCTGGCACTCCTGAAGATTGCTTATTTATGCTTGACTATATCTAGAGCATATATAGATTAAACTGAAGCATGGGGGCAGAGATATACTGAGGGCTCTGAAAAGTATCCTTCGTAATTCTCTGTGGAAATGAAATATTTCTATATTTGCAACATGCAGAAGCAAAAGATCAGTGATTTTGTATAAAGAAACTGAGCTCTGAACAGAAAATAATTTTACTGCTGCCTTGCTGTTACATGAAGTGCAGCATGGATGGTCAGAAACAAAGAGAAACAGGGGACCAAAATCTACAAATGCACTGCAAGGGGGAAAAATAGCTTTTATTTTTCCTATTGAAGTCTGAAATTTTTCCTTGTCTTTTTAGTACTGATGTTTATATTTATTACTATGTATTTCTTGCAACTCCTTTCCCATAGAAAACTTAAAAATGACAGTGTCAGGCCTGCAGTTATATTCCTTTTAGGATATTTGGCCTGCCACACACATTATTATTTTTCTATGCTGTTTCATTAGAGTAGTAATTGGGAGGGGGAATAGTAAGGAGTAGAATTGTAGAATGTGTTGTTGTCATTCCTTTCTAGAAGCCCAAGGTCATTCTTTGTCTCTGCACCTCTGCACCTGACCGGAACGAGATGGGTGGAAATGCCAGTGTGGCAGAGGAAGATTGGATCATGTGATGAACTTGTGGGTGTTCTGGATAGCTGTCAAGGCTTCTTTTACAGCACTTGGGTAAAGAGGGATATGACATCGAAGCTCACGAGT